TGATTTATATCTATACCTGTATAGAGTAAATATTTTTACGGCAATAAATCGCTGTTAATTATTATATCTGGTGATTGCAGGTGCCTGTGCAAATAAATACAATAAGTAAATCAACACACCCATTTCTATAATAAATTGTTGCATTTCTAGCAGCATATCTTATTTGAAAATGGACAGAATTATAAGCAAGATGACTAGACACGTCTACACTTCCCATGTCTGGTACAATGTATACTATCTATACGCATCGCCATTGCTGTGATGACGTAGCATGTCATGATATACATAGTTGTGATAACATAAATTACCTCAAAAACAACCGTGTTTTCATACCAATGGTCATCATAAACCCACTCGCCGTCGCAGTCAGTTGTTCCAGAGCGTGGAAACAGATCTCTACTAAAACACCCCTGAGATACATTGACATCATAACGTTCACACTGCTCCCATTCACTTTCACTATAACTGTATGGTATAGTACAATTCTTCAACTTGGAGTTAGTCTCGTACGTCTGGTTCTTATATGTTCGACAGTAATGGTCAGCGGATGCACTGTAAAACGTGTTGCCCATCTGAAAAAATGCAGAAGCGCCGGTCGCGATAAATATACATATGTATTGAATTTGTTGAGAACGTCCAAAAGGACCGACGCTTTTCAAAATGTCTTCAAATTGCGTCATTTTATAGCTGAAATAGTAGCAGTTGGTGATGTTGTAAGTCAGGTGAGAATACACGCCCTGTGAAGTCAACGGAATTCAAAAACCGTTTGTCTTTTCTGCAAAAGTACAGGTAGATTTAGACCCGATATCATTTATTATGTACATACTGGCCGACCTTGTCACTGAATATTTTCGATAAATTGAGATAAAATCCAGTGATATTAGGTGATGGAATGAAAATATCATGAAGAATTTTAGGCATACTTACGAGTATAGTGCATCTCCCACTTGGAGTGCAAAGCAGTGGAGTGGTTTGAGATAACTCGAATCGAGTCGAGTCATTTTCAATTAAGTAATTTTTGATAAACGGGATAAAATACCTGTAGATTAACTCTGCCGTCAGGATATGGAGCAATAATGTTATACTTTAAGGGAATTACCCGACCGATCGGACGATATCGATTCGTAACCGAGCATCCTACACGGGTCACACAGCAACGTGTTAAAATGCTGATATCACGAGAATATGAAATCGTTTGATCTGTCTGGTTATAAACTCGTTATCATACGTGGCGTTTGAATAACAGCTCAAGTTTAGGATAAAGCCCGAGTACGGTGTGTGTCTGAGATATAAAGTCAAGCCTGGGTTAAAATGTCGTAGATATAAATTTTACCACTGGGGGGGGGGGCTTCCCTGAAGTATGTATAAGGGCTTTATCTGACTTAAAATACACCGCCCAAGACATTAGATACTAGATATCAATACTGTTGATAATACTGCTATATTATTGAAACGAAATAAAAATATTGTTTGAATAAAAAAAAATACTGTTGAAGGCATTTAGCTAGTCTCATTAGAAAAAAAAGTGCTTGCCCCTGTGTTCAAATAGATTATGCTATGAATGTCCGCAAAGTTGATGCGAGAGGTCAATGTTCGAACCTAGCCTCGAAGGTTACTTTATAGCACTGTAAATCATGGTCAGATTTGGTGTCACGTGATCTCGTATAAAGATAAAGAGATTTCTGATTGATCGAGCGTCAGGTGTGTTTTAATTATTATTGGCCGCTTCAGTTACAACATCTGTGTATGTTTTTATGGTGATTCAGAGGACATGGAAATTAGCACGGCTTACAATAACAAGGCAAAACTCTCTGTTTTCGAGACAGGGAACATAGATCGTCAGTTATATATACATATATATATATATATATATATATATATATATATATATATATATATATATATATATATATATATATATATATATATATATATATATATATATATTATAAAGCATCCCGATTATGGGCTTATTAAGATTAATATTGTATGTCACGACTGGGTTTATTGTGTTAATATTGGTTCACAGACGAACGTGATCATACGTATCGCTCATTAGTGTCAACATTTTGATCTGTTGATTCCTTGATACAGTTGCGTAGTCGACCATGATTGATATTTCCGTGGTCTGC